TGGATATCCGGAGACAGAGGCAAGCTGCAAGTTTTTCAGGCTGTTGTTTAAAACTCAACCATTTTTATTATATTTACTGATGATCAGGGAGGAAGAGGTAAAAGAGAAAGCATTAAATCATATAGTTTGTTATGTTGGCCACAGTTCAACCCTAAAAAAACATTTTAGAGGCTAAAACTGGTAGTTGGCTCCATAGGAGAGGAGCCTGATAACTAAAGATCTGCCTCCCATTCTACTTTTACAAAAGCTGGGAAACACTAGTAAACCTGCAGATTGAGAGCAGAGTGCTCTGTTACATACGGAGCAATGGTATCTTTCTGATATGAGCTGGAGCTTGGCCATTAAGGCTTTATATGTGAGAAGGAGTATTTTAAATTCTATTCAAAATTTTACAAGAAGACAATGAAGAAAAGCTAAAATAGGAAAAAATATGATCCCCCTTTTTAATTTTCATCAGAACTCTGGCTGCAGCATTTTTGATCAGCTGATGGCTTTAAACTAGTCTGTGGACTTCCTGATGGTAAATAATTACAATTGTCCAGCCTTAGAGTAACAAATACATGGACTATGTTTCTTTTCAGATTTAACAGGTGTTTTTTTTTTTTATATATGGTAAAAAGTAATTAGGCTGCGCTTATGCTTTATCAAACATAATGACCCAAGAGTGAATCACTCTACAATCAGACATTCACCTATTCATGGACATATTTATTTGTTTATTTGTTTATTTATTTGGATCCCCATTAGCTGTCAGTAATTTGACAGCTATTCTTCCTGGGGTCCCTTTAATATTCACATGTTGATGGTGACAAGCTACAGTTTTTCTACAGCTGCCCTGAGGTAGACTGACAGAAGTGAGACAGCTATAAATTGGCAGCATCAGGCATCTAATCAGCAATAGCAGGCCATGATATTGCTGGGTCGGGTGGGATTTCTAAACTGGTCTTAGCTGTCACAGCAGGGGCCGGAACTGGCAACCAACCAGTTACAGGACACATCTATTTTAGTGTTCAATAGGAAGAAATAAAATACAATTCCACTTAATAATTTATGTTCTTTTTGAATTGACCCTTTAAAGACTGTTCATTAATTTTGTTAACATTTCAGGCTTTCAAAAACAATCTTGCTTGTAGAAAAAAGCAGTTCCCCAGTACAACTACAGGTTGCCCAGACAGGGCAAATAATTTACGGTATTTAAAGCTCCATTGTGTAAAGATTACAGGGATTTACTGACAGAAATATAATCTATTATATGTAAGTATGTTATCTGTTATCTTCTAAGAAATGAAAGTCAATATTTGTATTTGCTAATGTTTAAATACTTACATAGGAGTGAGTCTTGCATTTATGGAGGCAGACGCCATTGCACTACGGCAGCACAGAGGTGACAAACTAGTGACTGTAGAGATAGCCATTATGTTCTAATGTGACTGCCGCGAGTTTGGCCTATTTAAAATAAATGTCCTACACAGACTAAAATAGTACAATCTATAGAATTATCTGTCTCAACGTTAGATGTTGCTGAAAAATTACACACTGTAGCTTTAAGGAAAATGGATATGATTACAAAAGACCATTGAGCTAATTAAAAATAAAATGCTAAAAGGGAAAATTAAAGATATGGTTGAAATTCATTGCTAATACAATTATACAGTGATATCACAGTTATGTTTGAGAACTAAACTTTATCTTGTTGATATATATGTCAAATTAGCTTTAAACTCCTTTAGAACAGCAAGCTTTATGTGTTTTTTTGCACCCTTTTTTTCTCCCACAATGTTTGCATTTGATCCCTGCTGCACTTTAAGAAATGGAAGTACCATGAAAGCTGTACAAAACAAAATTTCGTTTTGTGTATACTTTGTGTTTACAAAATGACAAAAAAAAGTTGTCTAAGTGCATATGAATGATAGTGGTGCCTAACCTAATGATTATAGATTAAATCAATTGAGCCCTCAGCTTTGCATCTGCTAACCTCTGATAGCAGAGCTCTTAACCTGTTAGCCAAAAGCAGATGTAACACTTGGAATATTTTAACTAATGTTCAAACCTAGTTTTAGCAGGTTAGTTCAGAAATGTTAGGGGGATACACGTAAAACTGAGCAAACTCAAATTACTGGACCATCAGTGTTTGGATTGCGGCTTCTTTCTAGGTGGGGAGGTGGTCTCATTCTGGTTTGTAATCCCAAGTCCCTGCAAGGCTTACAAGCACAGCAGAGCTGTGGTTCCTATGCTGCCTTCTTCTCCCAGAGACAGTCACGGAGAGAGAGAATCTTTCCTGCTGAAGCTGAGAGAGATTGCAGATGGCTTGTTACTGTGCCGGCCTGTCATTGATTGCACAGAAAAACTTACTAGACTTTTGAATTCCAGTTTGAAATGTTTTTCCAGCTGACAGCAAGCGGACGTTCTTGCATGTTTCTCCCCTTTGCTGCAATATAGGAAAGAGAACTTTAGTTGATCGCATGCTTTTGCATGTAGGACTTCATTACATCACAGGGATCGCTGCTGTGATTCTCCCCTTTGGAGATGTCCTTTAAAAATGTTTAATCATCCTCAAAGTGATAACACAGGGCTTTATCTATCTGTAATAAGGTGTGTTATGTATTTATATTCCATCCCATGTTTATATCCATGTCATGCATGTGAGGCACAAGACTTTCTTTTCCAAATATTTTTAATTAATCCACATCGACAGTTTAAGTTTAAGTGGCATGAACAGCTTCTTTAGAATCATGCAACAGCATCTCATCGAGATTTAGATCAAAATCAGACTTCATTCATTTTTTTTTTTTTTATTATTTCCTTCAGAAGTAGATTTTTAGATTATTGTCATAGCAAAATACATAAAGCAGGACTATATAGCCATATAGACAAAATTACTGGGTTGGGGGGCAAATTACTTTGCAAATTAATGTGCAATTACTATTTGACACCCTGTACAATAGCCTGTTTCACTATATTTGACAAACTGCAACTATAACTATAACTAAATGCAATAAGCAGAACTTAGGTGGCTAACAGCCAGGGAAAAGTGCTTACCAATACATACAGTCAACTACAAAACAGGTCTAAATCGGGGGCAAATTGATTTTTCTGAAGACTTTTTGACACCTATCCAGCTGTAAGCTCACACCATAGCAATCTGTATTTAGAGTGCTGGTGCAACATGCAAGGCAACCCTATTAACTACATTCGAACTCACATTCAAATCAAACATTCGCCTGCCTTTCTCCAGGGTTATTGAACTATTTTGTTGTGTTTGGTTTATGTTTTTGGCCATTTTATAACATAACTTTTACCCAAATAATTAACAAGCAAATTACCCTGATACGAAAAAAAAACTTCAATCCACATCTTTGAGATACTGTCATGTTTGGCTTAAGGTTCCTAACCCACCTGCAGAACACACTGAGGCTGGAGAAAAGTTCGAAGATTTATTGAAATGATTCTGTACAAAGAATAAACAGATCCAGGGGTTAATCAGATCCAGGACTGGTCACTAGTGGGTTCTCTGCAGAGGGGGACAGAGGAGTTAGTGGAGGTCCAGGTAATTTGCAGGATGTGAGTGAGTAGGACAGTACCTGTTCAGGAGTTTGAGCTGAGCTGCAGAGGGGGGGAACCTAGAGGGTCCAGAGGCTGTCGGCAGGCTGAGGGCTTGGCGATGGCGGAGCAAGGTTTGAGCGTTTGCAGATCACAGATTTGAGTTTCCCTTCCGATTCTTCTGAGAGCGGGCAGGCAGGTCTTTGACAGGAATTATTCTCCAGGGTTCTTCAGAGATCAGACAGGCAGATTACCGACTGAGAAACTCTTCTGGGTTTCTGGTTTCAGGCAGGTTCAATCTAGGAAGCAGAGAGGAGAAAACAGATCAGGTTCAGGTTTTCAGGGAGTCAGAGGTTCAGACAGGCAGGTTGGCTCAGGCCTGCTAACTGTAACTGGCAAACACTCTGGCACTGGAGAGACGTCCTCTGCCTCCTTAAATACAGATCTCCTGATGAGCAGATGAGCGACAGGTGGTTGCAATCAGCTCCGGCTCCAGGAGAACTAGTACGCCCTCTGGTGGAGAAAGTGGACAGACCTCCAGATCCCAACAGATACGTCTTTATTTTCAAATTTACAAGGCATGTGATTACAGAACAGAACATTATTAGACCGACATGATGTTTCATCAAAATAAGAAGAAACTTGTGAATTTAACTGAATGGAAATTGTTTTGTGACAGACTTTGTTATATCAGGAATTTTATTATTTCTTAAAGAAATTGATATTACATCACATCATAAAAAGATGGTGATTTACCTTTCTATTAGCTACAATGTTTCACTCTTGGTACAGTTATATTTTGCTAAATGCATTTGTTAGGGGGTAAATGCTCTGTCAAGGCACTGTACATTTTAACAGTAAGTTTATTACGATAAGTTATTTTTCAATGTATTGCCATATTTTAAGGAAATATCTTCTGTACATCTAACTTATTCTTTAATGAGCAGTGGGCACTATAAGAATCTTAGCCGAACAAAGAGAGTATGAGTGTGTGTTTCGATCGTGCAGCCTCTCCCAACACAAAGCAGCTGCTCTCTAACCTCTCACTTTTATCAAGATTTAGAAAAAAAGTGTTTCTAATTAGAATGACAGTTGGTCTTTGCTGTCAAACGTTTACTGATTAGGGAAATAGATCACAGGTTTTGTTTGTTTTATCGTCCTGATCACTGATCAGAGCAACGTCAGCAAGTTGTGTCTATGAATTGGTGCACATTTAGTTTTAACCTATGGTACAAGAAAAGCGCTGTTCCGCAAACTGTTTCTGTCCATAGGGAATTTTTTGTAAGAAAAGCTCATTATTTCAGTAGTGTGTTTAGAAGGGTTGCTCCTATTTGGTTATCAAGAATGCATTGAAACTTCCACCTAGTTTAGCTATTCACACAGTATTCTAAATCCATCACCTAAAGTTTACATTAATCAACTTTATGATATTTCCTCAATTTTCATTTTTGCATCTACAGCTTTAAGGGACAACCGGATTGAACTTGTGCGCGCCACATCATCCGAGTTAACCATCAGCATCAGCGACGTCACACTGTCTGACGAAGGCCTGTACACCTGCTCTCTGTTCACCATGCCGGTCAGAACTGCTAAAGCTTACCTCACTGTCCTAGGTAAGACAACAATACAAATTCATGTATAATGTTTTTCTGTGTAATAATATTTTTGTTTTTGTGTTAACAATAATTAAACTAATACTTTTTATTTTTATTTAATCTGAAGAAAGAATTCATGTTACTTTTGCCTGGAGCTGGGCAGATAGAAAAAGAACAGCAGACTGTTAGTACCACCCCTCCCTTTTAGACATGTTTTTGTTGTGATTATCATTTACCCAAACATTGCTTCATTTCCTGCATCCGGGCTTATTATCATTCCAATTAGTTTTTCACTAATGTTAATAGATGTGCTCATGCACTCCAGGACCATTAGCTAGCTCTCTGTGTTAACAAGCGTTCTCAAAATTAGAGGCATTAAAGGCGACCACTCAATAAGGATGTGGGGGAAATTATTTTTGCAATGCTGAACAATACTTAATGTAGCGCGCCAGGAAACAAAGACGGCGATTTAATAATTATACAAAACGATCTGGGAATGGCCTGGTTTTATCAGCTGCTACATGAAGACACTGTGTACTGGAAATGAACACAAGCAAAAATGATTTGGTGAAAATACCTAAGTGGCTTCACACTCAAATCTCTAGAAGCACAGAAACAAATGTGTGTTTTTTCTGCTAAAATAACAAGACAATCATTTGTGTACTAATGACCGGATGAAAACAGTGAAAAAAAATCAAAAAACAAATGTTTCATTGAAGGCGATTCATTCTGAGGGGAGAAAAATAGATGCAATGAAATCCTTTCCAGTTTATCACACACTTGTTAAGGCATATAAATGAATACAGGGTTTTGTGGTAGTTCATCAATGCAAGCCTGTGATATCAGAAGTAATTTAATTATGAGAACAGGATTTGCTATACATCTCAGAATATCCAGAACAATTCTGATTAATCATATTGCTACATATTTTTATATATGTTACTAGGATCCAGAAGAGCTATAAGATACAGTTTTTTGGATGTATGTAATGTAAAAGGATTCGAAGCGGTATATTTGACCTTAACAGCACACTGTTTAAGTGTTCATATTGACTAAATACAGCATTTAATGATGTATCAAAAAAAGCTCTACTTTCTATCAGCACTTTAACAGTGCAAAAGTGTTCCACTTGTCAAGGATTTGATTCATAAATGAACCCGTCTATATATTCACACACATAAACAGAAGAAGACTGCATGAGATGAATATTGTGCTCTATTTGCTCTCAAACACCATCATTTATCATCTTAAGCTGTTCTTACTTATTCACAAAAATATAACAGTTCACTTAGAGTAACAGCAACATGTTTAATTTAGCAAAAAAGCATTGCAGTTGAAAAAAAAATTCTATGTTTTTATTCAAGTGATGAAATACTGCAAATGTTGTAGGGATTGTGTATGATGCTTTTACCTCTAAACAAACAGTAAACATCAAACAGGAAGTCCATTTAACTGCGGTAATAACCAAATAAACCTTTCAGGAGGCGGCAAGACAAACAGTGCAGGAGTCAGTCAATGGCATTGACTGACAGACCTTTCAGTCATTCAGCCCGAGGCCAAACCTTTCCCTGACAACAGAAGGCACAAGTCACTTAAAACACTCATTACAGGAAAGGCCAGTAATTAACATTTTCTGTACAAGCCTTTGGCCCCTTACCTGATTCCAAGCCTTTGCTCACCCACATGAGAATATGTTCAAACTACAACAGGTTTTTCAACTTAACCTTTGCACCTTGATCAATGCTGTTTGGCCAGACAGTTGCTATGGCAATTGTATGTCGATTGAAATGTGTTTCTGCTACTGTTCATGTAGAGTAACAGCTTAAGCCTTTTAAAATCGCATTTAGTTTTAAAGATGTTGTTTTTAAATAATTTGGAGAAAGTCTAAAACAAAACTATATGCAGACCTACATATAAAGAATTGCTGTTGTATTTTGGTTAAGATCTTATTTTATAAAGCAGACAATAGTCCATCATTGTGAAGTAAAAGACAAAGTTTTTAAAAGTTGTTGCCACATACCAAACATTATAAATCATGCTGGTGGAAGAATCATGCCATGGAGATGCTATACTGAGGCTGAAAATGATTGTGATTAGGAACAATCGCTGTCAAAGCAAATAAACTTTAAGCAAGAGCTGCAACAGAGAGATTAAGATTAGTATACGTGTTAATATGTTCAAGTGGTCCAGACATAAATCCTAGGTGTACAAAATTCCTGCAGACATAACCATAAGACTTGGTGCTGGTCTTTTTCCTGTTTTCTTACAGATGGTGACAAATAGGTCATGATACTTTTCAAAGGCCTAATAAGTTAAAATATAGGGATCCAAAGTCAAACAGCTATAAAAAGGGTATCTGCAATGTTTTTTTGAACACAAATTAAGTGAAATGCTTAGCTGCATGCCAATAAAACCCTTACTGTATGTGTGCTGGAACAGCTTGGTGAGGCTCTGGAGTGTGCTCCTTAATCTCTCTGCATGTGGGTAAGCTAGAGAAAAAAATCCTTAGCAGCCATAATAGAATTATTGCTGGATAATGACGTACTGTGGCGTCTGAACCATTTCTATCACAGTTATTTCCATTCCATCATACAGGCGTGCCAGAAAAGCCGGAGATCAACGGCCTGACAAAGCCAGCCATGGAGGGGGACCACATCACCCTGACCTGCATCACTCAGGGCAGCAAGCCCGCCGCTGACCTTCGCTGGTTCAGAAACGAGAAGGAAGTCAAAGGTAAATGATGTCTGCATTTGTATTTGACTGTCTCACGCTTACTGATACACAGATGCTGAATGATGTTACACAGGGACATTGACGGCGTTTTTAAATTCAGGTGCACGTCAGAAGAGCAAAGTATAATTGAAAAGTTTTTCATTTTACTATTCCCAAAGTGAAACTCAAACTTTCTATGAATTATTTGCATAGAGAGTGACATATTTCTTGCAGCTGCCCCCTTTATTTTGATAACTTTGGCCTACAGCTAATGAAAACCGAAACTCAATTTCTTCAAAAGTCAAAAACGTATAGAAAACCAATAAAAAAAATTTATTTTCTGCCTTAAGTGTAGGTATGTCTTTCTTTGTTGATCTTGAAGCAGTGACCCGTCCATAGTGTTTGCCTTGCTATTATATCAACATACTCTTCAATTGGGCTGCACAGTGGGGCAGTGGGTAGCACTGCTGCAGCAACAAGGTTCTGGGTTCAATTGACGGCCCTTTCTGCATGGCGTTTGTTGTTGTTCTTCCAGTGCATGCGTCGGTTCTCTGCAGGTTCTCTGTGTTCTTTAAGAACTGCTGTTTCCCAGTTGCTTGCAAAACTTTTCTGCAACATTCTTCCCTACCATTCAACTCTCCAATTTTCCTGTGAATGACTCCAATCAAATGTTTTCAGTAAAAACCTTTTGTAGCACAGCACATTATCTTGATGCCTTTGCTGGACCAGTGATCACCTTGTTATTGTTTTCTTAAAATGTTACAGTTGTCATATATTTTCACTCTTTTGCTATTGATTTCATCACATTTATCAAAATGCTGCTCATTCAAAGCAGTAAATTTAGCCAGTAAGCTGCTAGATTAAAGAATGGCATATTTATTAAAAGGAATTATTCAAAGTTACTATATTGAACTGCCAATGATCTCTTAAACCTTTAGGCAGGTTAACTAACACAAGAACCATAGCTATTCTAATTGAAAAGGACCCCTAAGCAGTATTTCTATGGTGTAATCTTTGCCTGCCGAGTCAGGGTGGACAGTCTATGAACCAGAATACATGAATCAAAGAGAATACATACATAAATGAGAAATACACGAGACCCTATATAAGAGAATGTTTAAATTAAGTTTCCCTCTGACAAAAGAATAATATTCTGCAATAAGATGATACCTTGTTAATCCAAGAAATTTACACATCCTGTGAAATGGAGCTTGCTACCTATTTCTAACAACATCTGCACTAGAAGTCTTAAGAATGCTAGTTTTGTTCTTTAAGCTGCTTTCAAATAGGCTCTGTGGGCCCGGCCAAATTTATTCATTTCTCTGCTGCAAAATTGAAGAATATCTCTGCTATACACCAAGCTAAGCCCATGCTATCCATGTTCAGTCTGTTTGAGTTAAAATGACTTTTAAAGTGCTATGTGATGATAACTTGATGATGCCTTGATGCATCCAATCAAAGGGATTCAGCCACACGCAAACATTTTGTGGACTTGATTGTAGGTGCACTCCAAGTTCTATTCGGCTGTCTGAAGTCGGTTCATCTTTTCATGAGTCTTGGTGTGACTCTCACTAGTGCTCCAGCAAGACATCAGTTTGCTCCTTACGCAATCCAAAGTGGACCTGAGAGCAGTTCTATCAGTGCAGCTCCTATATAAGCCTAAACTCTCCAAACTTTGAGAAACTCTCACCCCTTAGCTGCTGCTTGTCTCTTTTTCCTCCCTGTCCTCTTCAATAAAAGTTACAGAACTTTCCTCAGGTTCTGACAGGTTGAGAGTTACCATCTACATCCAAACTATGCAACCTGGAAAGAAAGCACCTCTCTGGATATATGTTATGTGCTGCTTGCTCATTGTGGAGCAACCACCACAGAGATTATTTGTACTTAAAAATGTTTGTTTTAAATTAGCTTCCCTGCAGAGACGTCACATCCATCTGTCCATTTTCAATCACACTTATCCCAAGTGGGGTCTCCAGCTGTCTACGGGCGAGAGGTGGGGTACACCCTGGACAGGTCGCCAGTAGAGACACTGCAGACCACTGTAAATCAGTTTTATTCTGTCTATACCAGTGACAACTGCAGTGCAGGATGCAATTAACAATATTCCCTGTGGGAGAAAACAGATGTAGCAATCTGTTTATTTACACCTTTGTATATTTGATAAAGGATTCCATTTTAAAAGTGCTGGAGCAGATTCCTAGCTTTGTTTTGCACCAGTTTAGTCTTTTATCCAGGAGCAGATTCAAAATACAGTATGCACTCTTGTCTGTATTAGCTGCATCATTTAGTGTTAGCTCATCTAAAACTTATATTTTATTTTTTATTTTATTTATGTAGAAGCAAAGACAACCCTTTGCTTAAAGAGGCTTAAAACATCAAGAAATGAGATCAAAGTGCTTCAGAAAAAACAAATGACAAAAACACATAAAAAATCACAAAGAAAAAAAAAACATCTATTCTGGCGTTGGTGCAAAAATAAAATTGATTTAATAATTTGTTCATTTGAAAACAAAAGATTTTAGCCCATTCACTAGTTAACAATTATGCCATCCAATAGAAAAGGGAGACAATTACTGCAAACCAACTTATTTAGATAATCTGCACAGCACTGAAAAGATGACTGAAGGTAATTTCTAACTGCTTGAAATGATGGCATGTAAAGTGAGAATGTAAGAGTTACTTTTTCATGTGGGGTGCCTTGCGGGACACCATATGCAGCATGTCTAATGATTACTCATTACAGAGAAAGTTCTAGTCTGATAAAGTTTGATAAATGGACCACTGTAGTTCTGTGACATAGGGGTCCACTCAGGGTAAGAGAACAGAATGAACCATTGTGTCGAAGGCTGATTTGAGATCCAAAATAACCTGAACCACTGAGATTTTGATTGACAGACACAACTACATCATGATTTGATCTATTACAGACTACATACCTTCGTGACACCCTGTACCTGCTTTACTTATTGACTAAATCCCATCATGATTTGTTGCTAGGAAACCAACAGATAAATACAATTTTGAAATTAGAATAAATTAGAATTTGCATTCTCAATGCTTTTTATGACAGATTAGTATTTAAATAACCAAAAAACCTCTAGAACCATGTCTCTCTAAAACTCATTACCCTTTATAGGTGATGGGATGACTAAAGAATATGTTTCCTTATTGTTGTTGACAGAAAATAAAGTGTTGTTCCTAACTGGAATATTTTTATGTGAGAACAGAGTTCGGTGATGTGATATGCAATTGAACAGTTACATCACTGTTCCATCATTACACAGCCCCAGTTACACATCCACTAATAAGTAGACTTTCAGCTAATTTTATCTCCCCCTTATGGCTTGCATAGCTGCTGCATCGCCTGCTAATATAAAGTAGGCATACCCCAGTTATGCAGGTGTTTGGACAAACTGGAATGCTGACTAAAGCCCATCCTAGTTAGACTGGCAACTAGCTAGAACCATTATGCATGAACTGTGTCAAATTCTGTAAAATAGATTAATTCCCCAACACAGAAAGGCTTTGCCAGCACCACACTTGCATTTCTTTTCCTTCTTTACACTTTCTGAAATATTATTCAAGCTTAGAAAAGAAAATTATTTCAGCTTCTGTGCAGTGGCGGATCTAGGGGGCGGCTACTTGGGCTGCAGCCCCGGATGTTACCCCTAGAGCCCCGGATCTCGCTTCTGAGCTGATCTGAGTAAAATGTGCAGTACTGGATTTCACCAGACGGTGGCAGCAAAGGCAGGAAAGCAGCCCGTAGCATTCCTGTGCAGAAGAAGAAGTTCTCACCAATGGCTGTTGCTAAACAGACTGATGTTCCAGGGATGTGAAGCTCTGACTGACTTCCAGACGTTGTTTGTCCCGGTGGTGTATGAAATTCTGTTCCCCTTATTTCGGGAATCGCATTGAAGCCAGAGAGGCGGACATGGCGGATGGGACCATTTTCACGACGCGTCTGATCGATTTCTCGCTAAAATCAGCTATAATCATGTCACGGTTGCAACATCCAGTTTAATCAGCAGCTGTTGTTTACAAAATTGTAAAATAAATAAATAGACGAGGTGCTTTTAAGCTATTTTGTGTTATTTTAAACGCCAAGAAAATCGTCTTTTTCCAACTTCTGTCACTTAAACCTGACAGAAATAAAAGTCAGTCACCAAACAGTTTTCCAGTATTAATCATTTTTCATTGCTGATATCAGAGGACGGAAACTGGCTGATAGCAGGACACAAATATTCCTGAAAAGATGAGAGTGTAGACTTTCTGATTTATCCCGTTCTAATGTAAAATATGACAGATTACTGGATTAAGGACATTCCTAGTATACTACATGATATTACACAAACGATTTTTGAGAATCTGGAAACAGATGCTTTTTACTTCCCAAAGATATGGGAGGAGGAGAGACTTGATGTTTCAGCTGCCTGAAATAATCTGTTCCTCCTCCATAACATGGGAAGAAATTAATTTACCTGCACATTTTTAACTGTGTTTATTCCTCTTCATCAACAACAAATCCTCTGGATTTAGTGACATTTGATAATTATTTGCCAAAGTTATGAGGGGGGAATCGTATATTTTAGCCCCCTGATAGAATCCGTTCCCCCTTTGATTATCTTTATGAAATATATTTTCTGTTTAAATGTTTATCTAACAATTCATAAATATTCCAAAAAAAAAAAGTTCAAACCAAAACCACTGGACATTGTTTTCCAAGTTTGAAGATGTTTCTTAATTCCAAATGTCTGGAGCAATGCTATTGCAGACATTTGGAATTGAGAATTAAAATACATCAAATAAAGATAATCCAACAACTATTTTGGATTTAAAAATATAAAATAATAAATGTTTTAAACATAATATATGAAAAATAATGACAGTTTCACTGGATTTGTTTATTTTTTTCCCATGTTATGGGGAAACGGATTCTATCAGGCGGCTAAAATATATGATTTCCCTCTGATAACTTTGGCAAATAATGATCAAATTTGACCAAATCCACAGAGTTTGCTGTT